CAGTCGCTCTGTGTTGCGGCCCCTCCCCTGGGGACTCCACAGCCTGGCCGCCCGCCACACCCTCCCAGCCCCAGGCCTCAGCTCTCCCCCCACCACACCCATCCCTGGGGTTCCCTGGGGGCGCGGAGTCAGCAGCAAGTCCCAGGGGTCGGACGCCTGGTCAGCACGGCTGCTGTAACACGCACCGCAGTCGGGTTGGAACCACAGAAATGATTGTCTCCCGTCCTGGAGCAGCACGTCCCAGCTCGAGGAGCGTGAAGGCCACTGTGCCCACCGGCTGCCAAGGCTGCAGGGACGCAGTCAGGACTCGGTCCTCCGGGGAGGCCAGACCCTGAGCTCCAGGCCCTCCTGGTGGCTCCATCTCAAAGGAACAGTCTCAGGTCCCGGGCTGTAGGAGACACAGCACTCCCCAGAGGGCAGACACAGGATCCACAGCTGTCTGCCCTTCGCAGGAAATGCTCCAGGAAACGGAGGCCAGTGCCTGGTCAGGGCTGGCTCTGCTGGGCGGTCCAGGCCAGCGCTACAGGAGAGCTCAGTCATCCACGGGACGCGGCCCTGGGCGGCTGGACATTGTCCAAGTGTCTGTGTGAGCCTTTCAGTGTGTCAGGGAAGAGGGGGCGAAATCAACGTGCCGAGTCTGTGCCTCCACGGCCCCAGGGGAGGCCAGCAGGACAGGCTCCTGGAGGGGAGCTGGGACCAGCACTGAGTGGAAAGGGCCATTCCAGCTTCCTGTGGGCACAGACAGACAGACAGCCAGAGGAAGACAGAGAACTTCATGCAGGAAAGGGACAGCTCGCTCCAGTGGGCTCTGCACCAGAGACGGTGAGGCCATGGGGCGGGCAGCCGGGTCCAGGGGCATCGCCGGCCCTCAGGGACCCTGCCAGGCGTGAGGACACTGGGCACCCTCTGCCTCCAGGGTGCTCCGGAAGCCATCCTGGGGGTCTCCCCCACTCGCCATTTCCCTCACACGGAACACCTAACCAACAAGCTGAACCTGCCTATGGTCCCTGCAGCATGCCCAGCCCCAGGCCCTGCCCCTCACCTCCATCCCCTGGAGCCCGGATCTGCCTCCAGCCACACATTCCCACGGGGACACCAGGACGCTCGATGCCGGGCTGGCCCCGCGGGTCCTTGAGGAGCACCAGTCCCAGAACAGCTGCCCCCCACCAGGCCTGAGGGCCCCGTCCTGACCCCGGGGCAACACCAGGCCACAGCGCGTCCCCCATGCACAGCCCCTCCTGGGACCCTGGAAGCGAAGTGGCCGACGCCTTCCCTTGAGCCCCTGTGTCAGCACCGGTGCGAGCCTGAGCTCAGCTTTCTGCTGCTCCTGACCCCTAGGGGCGCTGCCCCGGGCAATAGCTCCGACACACTCCTGTCAGTGTCTCACCTATCCGACCCGCACCCCCATCCACATCTTACACACACACACACACACACACACACACACCCTGGGCTGCCACCCCACTGCGCTCCTGGGCCCCCACCAGGTCCCCCCTCCTCCCGCACTCCAAGGGGAACGCCTGCCGGTCTGAGCTTTGAAAACCTGGATTGCTGTCCGTGTGTGGTGTCCGTGGATGTGGAGAAAAGAAACCCTTGTGCGCTGCTGGTGAGAACATAAGATGGCATTACCGTTGTGCAAAACGGTTTGGAAGCCCCTCAAAG